TAGGGAAAGCACACTGGACTAAATTCGGCCTGTATGTCATCACAGAGGTTACTTGAAGGCTGAATTTGATTTGACTGGTCTGATTGTGCTTTCTCCTTCACATGATTCACCTGCTCTAGTTCCAGCCATTTTATTAGAATTTGTGTCAGTGGTGGATTTTCTTTGCACTTCAAAAGTTGTGCATTGTTTGGTTTAGTTTTTTTTTTCCACTTCCTAGAGCCCACCAGCCCTCATATCTGTAAATTAATTTCTAAAAGGGAAAATTCTACTGGAGCAGAGGTTGATGAAGCTCATGATATTTCTGAGCTCTCAGGTAAGCTCCCAGCAGGTCTCTGGAGAAGCCCACTTCTGCACAAGGGACCTTTATCCTTCTCGCAGGGTTTTTCCACTTTTCCAGAGGGATATAACAGTGGATCCCAGAGTGTGTACAGACTTTTCTTGGCTTTTCAGATACACTGGCCTCAGGCCTTGAAGATAACGATCAAGGTCTTTAGCTGGATTCGGGCAGCCAGAACAGCCATGCTCTCTCTTAGCCAGCTCATCCACCTCTTGAAGACATTCGTATCAAGGACTCAAGAGCTTCTCTAGAAGCTGTCTGCTCTTCATTTACCACTACGATCAGCTGGCCTCAATGCTTCCCAATTAGTAGAGTGGTTTCTCTGTAGAGTCCTAGTGATCTTACAGGGTCAGCTTCTGGAAATGCAGGAGCTCACTCCTGTCTGTCTCCAGCGTCTGACTTTGCATATTTGCTCAAACCACCTTTGTTACCTGGCAGAGAACCTCTCAAAGTGCTGAATCTTTTCTCGGTGTATTTTGAATCACTAAACTACCAGAATAAAATTTAGGTGGTGTCAAGTTTTTATAAATTTTGAAGTAACTGATAGTGGTAATTACCTCCCTGACAAGTCTGTAGGAACAGATATTCATCAGCAGAGCTAATCAACCTCAGCCCCTTCTATGGTCAATGAAAAGCAATTGCACTTTCAAATGCAATGTTTTTCACCTATGTTACATCTCTGCAGCAAAATAATATGAGCTATGTCCCAGACATGCATAAAGACAGTATAGATCAATGCCTTAGATGGAGATGTTTACATTTAGGAATCTGAAGTTAACTGATACGAATCCTATCATTGAGATGAGTTTGTAGCCAGCTCTCAGAAACTGGATGGGCTAAAGAGCACGTGGCAGGTCCACGAGAACAGAAAAGATGAAGCTGCTGAGGAAGGCAAAAAGTGCCCCTACTCCAAATCATGAGGTGGGTCTAAGCCTAAGGTGGTGAGCCAGGGTCACGCACTTCATAGTAATGCTGCAGCTCTGCCTCAGTGAGTGGGATTACCATATGTTGCCCATGCTTGCCTTTCTGAAGGCAAAAGCTCGGAAGAAGCATGGTAGCTATAGAAGCAAATATGGCATTAATGAGTTCCTGAGCCATGTGAGCTTTCAGAGAGATGCGAGGACACTTGGTTCATCAACAAATGATTTACTGACAGGCTGGCGTGAACACTGATGTCATCAGGCGTGCATGAATAGAGCACTCCTGGGGTATGCGCAAGCACCACTGAGTGAAACATCCAGGATGCCTGAGCCCAAACTCTACCTTTTATTCTCTCCCAGGTGCTGCCACAGGCATGACTGCTGCTATGACAAGGCAGAGAAGGCAGGCTGCAACCCCAAGGTGCAGCAGTACAAGTGGGCATGTGAGCAGAACACTGTCCGGTGCGGTAAGCAAATGCTCACTTGTGTGGGGTTCATTTTGCTCCCTCCTCTGCAGGCATGTAAGCTAACCTAAGGTCTCTGTGGGCCTCAGAGGTAGGTCTGTGTATGCTGAGATGGTTTTAAAGCTGCTCCAGGCAATGTCTGTTCTCCTCTGAGCTCTCTTCCCATCCCTTGCCTGGATGACTAGGCTTGCTCAGAGTCCCCAGCTGGAGCTGGGAGGAAGGCTGGAAGGCTGGAGCCCCAGCAGCACCGTCCCAGGTAACTTGAGTCCTCCCCAGGCTAAAGAGTGGGAGCTGAGGCCTAGTGAAAGGCATCAAGGGGGGACTACTAAACATCTGTCTGCAGTTGCTCTTGCCATAAGAAGACTGCTAGGCCGAAACTGAGAATTCCGATGATTCTATGGAGCCAACAAGCCATCTCAGTTTGGCAGGGGTGCAGATACCTCTCTGGTGGTCCTCTGCCCACCCACATTAAGCACACTTGCTACTTACTGATGCCTTCCCGAAGCTGTGCAATGGTCTGTCTGTGGCCACTTCTGCAGAAGCGGTATTTCTGTGATAGTTTTGGCACTCCCTCCGGCAGGACTGTTCACTGCTTTACTTACCATTACATGCTGCTAGAGAAGAGCCATGCTATCACGCATGTCTGTAAAATAGTTTAAACAGAGTGCCAGCCTGCAACTTTGCCTTGTGTGGGACTCCAGCCTAAAGCCTGAGAGTTCCAGTGGGGATTTTGAAACTTGCAGAGTCAAATGCTCTTGAGTGCCGCAGGCATACAGTGAGTGTAGGCTGTGCTCAGCTCCACAGCTGGTACCCAGTCAAGAAGGTCTTCAATTGCACAGTCACAGTGTCTCGCACCAGTTTGTTTTGACATACACCAGATGACTTGTGTCTTAGAATTTGTCACTTCTATTTCTAAGTCTCCAAAAGGTCCTTGATGGTAAAATCCATTGTAGAACACTTTGAAAGTTTGAAAAAAAAAAAGTGAGAGTAAAACTTGTCCCCCCACCATCAAAGCTATTTGCTTGAACATTAAAAGACTATTTCTACCTTGTCAGAAGACCATATTCTACTTGGTGCAACCCTCAGCCTATCCAGCAGCTGAAAATGTGCCAGTAGATACAGGATATGGGACAACACATCTGCAGTTGTTTTTTTCAAAGTGCCAGAACAACCTATTAAATACAAAGTGCTGGCTAAGGGATGCATTGCTTTGATGTGTAACTGATCTCCTTCAGGCTTACCTGTATTTCCATAGATGGCTGATACTCTCTCCTAGCTATTTTGATATGAAAAAAAACCCAAAAACCAACCTGTTTATTTTTGCTGTGAAGGAGCAATCCTAGTTGCAGATATGAGATGTACCACTGAGACCATGAGATGTGCAATGTATGTCCCATAAGACTTCACGGGGCTGCAGTTGTTCCAACCTGGCTAACAAGCATTAGTTAAACAGTTCCTTAACTGATGTCCAGCCTGAGAAGCATCCATCAACTGTTCTCTGCAAGCCCTCAGCAGGCATCAATTCCCCTGACATCCACCATGGGGAGGAAAAATAGAAATGCATTCTGAAGGTGAATTTCCTCCCTCAGGATACAGCACAGCAGGTTCTACCATGGTGTGAAGGTATAATGTCTGATCCCATCCAAACAAAAGGGATGAAGAATTACAGCTCCAGGCATACTTGCTGGGCCTAGGGTAATGATGTTTAGAAACATTAGAAGCAGAACTGCTTGCACTGTCCTTTCTATGCAAGAGGAAAGAAATGCCTGTTGCCTAGCACTGAATCATAAACACAGGGTTTTTTTCAGGGAAATTAAATAGAAACTCATTTTACCTGGAACTTTTTCTCCTCCTCACCTTTTGCTATTGTTATGCAATTTTGTTTGTGAATTGAAAAAAATGGGCGAAACTGTATTTTTCAGTTCAGATATTCCATCATATGCAGGTGAATTCCATTCATTATCTGGAATACAGAAAAGGCTGTAAGCTGTGAGGGCTGGTGAAAAAAATCATTCTGCTCTAGCAGAAATGACCAAGCCAGACTCTTGTGCTCACATTAGATGGACGGTGGTTTGCACGGCACAGGAAGAACTCAGTCAGCAGAGGGGCAAGGAGAAAACTAGGCAGGACTGGTAGCTAAGAAAGAAATGGACCTAGAGCTGAGGCCTCATCAGTGGGACCCTTGAAACACTTTTTACTGGTAAACAGTGACTCTTCAGAAAAGCTTAAGAGATATAGGCTCTTCTTATTTACCAGGTACAGTGTTGATCCAGCAAAGTCACTTGAAATCTGGAAGCATTCTTGTACTCGTTGCAGTTGGCTTTGGAGCAAAGCCCATGTGCACTGGCATGAAGTTACACTTTAAAATTTGCCTAGTGCAGGGTTTTGTGGGTGTTAGAAAATCTATAGTAGCAGCCTCAACTAAATGATGCACTGTGCTTTGAAATAACATTAGCCCAAGGGCTGCATTATAACAACCTATAGGTGGGATGGGGTTCATTAACCCCAAATCAATCGTTTGCAATGCAGCTACCTGAGCTAGTTGCTTTGATGTTCCTTATGGTCCTTAACTAGTCATGCAGTCAGATAATTGCGGGATAAATAGTTCCATGTGTATGATTTTGATCAGCTTCATTAGCTGCTGATTATAAAAATCAGGTACATGACCCTGCCACAGAATTCCTTTGCTTCTCTGCTGTGATCGGAGAGATGTAAGAGCAGCTCGTGCAGTGTGAGTGAAGGTTGCCCAATGGGTGCTTCTATGTCCTTAGGTTTCCATATGTCCCTCTGGGAGACTCTTCCTTTCAAAGTAGCATTTGTTCTTTTGAAATTGGTCTGATCTGTAGAGGGAGGAGTTAGAAGGGAAAATGGCTGGCTGAGGAAAAAGGGATTATTTTTAACTCAGGCTAAGCAAAAATAATTTTCTTTTTTAGCTTTGGCCACTGAACTAAACCTGTGTTGTTCACATAGTGCTAGAAGTGGGTAGTGCTCGGTGCTGGGCAGATTTTTATAAGTATTGCCAGTTTAAATTTAGCTGCTATTTTCTGATGCTGTTGGTCATAGTTAAGCTTAGACCTGTTGACAGGGACAGAACAGGACAGGGTCAGATCCACACATGACACAACATGTTGGTCCTTCTCCCTTCCTGCTTCCACAGCCCTTGTTTTTTAAGAATTGCTTTATTAGGCAATTGTTCTTAAAACTGTTTCTTGCCTTTGTCCAGTACAGAATCTCTCATCCTTTGCTCACATTTTCTTTTGTAGATAACCTGACAGACCAATGTGAAAAAATGGTGTGCCTGTGTGACCAAGAAGCAGCCAAGTGTTGGGGAGCAGCCCCATACAACCCACACTTCTTCCTCTGGCCAGATTTTTTATGTGGACAGACTCATCCCACCTGCCATTTCAGTTATGGAGGGGCAGAGTAGTCTTTTTGGGACCTTTCTTCTAATCCTTTGAATTTGAAGGTGCTGGAATAAAGTCTAATCTCTTTTACCAGAGCTAATAATGGTGTGAGAGAATTTTTTATCAGGCTGAACCAGGGTTTATGGGGGAGGAGAGACAGGGTAACATATATGCTGAAATAAGGATAAGATCCTTCTCTGATCACTGTCTTTGAGGAAACGAAGGGTTCAGTCTGCAACTGCAGTGAGAACACATTATCCGTCACCAAATGGCTTTTTTGTCCTTTCACACTGCCTGACCTCCAGCTCCCACACATTTGCACGTGATCTGGAAAATATGTAGGGACTTCTACTGGACTGGTTTGTTAAAAAAAAAAAAAGTCAAATCCATCTCTGTGAAAAAATACACTGGCCTTTGAAGACCTGAGGCGTGCCAGTCTGGAAGCAGAGTGATGCACTTTATTTTCCTGGACCTGCGGGAGGAAGGATGCCTCCTTATTCGTTATTTGTGCTTGGAGGAATTATGTTTCCTAACAAAAGGAAAAACAGTCTGGCCCAGGGGAGGGCTCCATTCTTTCCCACGGGATGTGTGTGAGTGTGCATGTGTGTGTTTTGTAGCTTATACAGCCAGCTGTCCTGCCCCTCGTGTTCCTGCCTCACAGCACTGGGGACACTTCTGAGGAACGTTCAGAGGTACGCAGAGTTACACTGGGCTATTGCCATTGCAAGGCCAGCAAGAGTTTTTGACTTTTACCAGTTGGCACACTCATACATTGCAAAAGAACATATTTCTCACCTGCCACGCACACTTCAGAGCTGACATGCTGCTCTCCTGTACAGGTATGGGCATATGCCCCGGTCACTGACTACCTGGGAATCAGTTATTGTCATGTCAGGAAAGTGGAGCTGTGGATAACAGCAGTCATGTAAGGAAATCTTTAAACTCTCCTTTTTTAAAAAGATATTAGAGGCTTCTATTCAAACACTATGTATCCTTCTGGCAAGAGTAAAGCAAAATCCCATTCTTTCAGCTAGGGGTAGCTATGTTCAAGTGGGTCTTCATTGCCTCTTCCCTACAAGTCTGAGCAAGCCAACAGGACAAGAGCCTCTACACCAAGAGGTGCAAACAGACAGGAGTCACAGTTGCATCCCAGGAAGCAACACATTCAATGTGCTGGGGTAGATGTTAGGAGCTGAGGGGCCTGGCTAGGTCAGGCTGCTTCTGTCTCTTCTGAAGCACAGCTGACAAACTTTGAGTACCACCCTTGAAATAAAAAGTAACAGCGGGGAAAGACCAAAGGTATCTTGTCGGAGTCTAGAGTCAGAGATAAGTGGCCAGACTAAGTGGTGATAATACAGATTCCTTTACAAAAGGCTGTTTTGCTCCTTGCTGCAGAAGGATGCTGGATACACCACTGTGGCTGTGAAAGCTGCAGGAGAAAGAAACAGACTAACAATAATAAAAAAGCCAAAGACAACATGCACTGAGGTGGAAGCTTTTATTCCATCTAGAGCTCCATTTTTGGCTTATGGAGCATCACAAGTTGTTCCACGTGTAGCCTTTGCATCTTCCAGTGACTCCTGTAATGCTGCACCCTGAGCTATGCTGCACAGAAAGGAAAGGAGAGAGAGTGAGCGTGCGATACAGAGTTAGTACAACACAATAAACCCTTCCAAGGCTTTCTGGCAAGTAAAGAAGTTGTGAACTCAGTTTATGCTGAGGGTCTGCGAAGGAGTGATGCTGTGTGAGGACAGGTGCGCTTCTCATCGAGACCCTCGCCTCCTGGCCGTGTCCCTGTCCCCGCCGGGCTGGCCATCAGGTGGCGGCAGCGCTCCAGCGAACAGCAAAAGCAGCTCTTCCGTCATCGATTCAGAGAGGTGAGGTGTTTTTTTTTTTTACAGCAGGTCGAACAAGATTTTTGAGCGCGGGGGAAAGAGGTGCAAATGACACGGCTCCCCTCTGAAAGCAAAAAGTCAGCTGAGCTCGGTCTGAAACGCAGACCACAGCTTAGGTTGCGCAAAATGGGAATTAAGCTTGTTTCAAATTCCAGCCTTCTGTGTCAGTCTACTCTGATGAGATCAGCTGACAGAGCTGGAGAAAACAGGCGAGCTTTCGGGTACATCAGCCTCTTCTCGGATCATTTCTTTGAGCCATGTGTGACGAAAATGTCTAATTTCCCCAACCTGATCAGCCAATCTAATAAAGGCTATTACTCGGCTTTACAAACCACTCAAACATACACTTAGACCATCACAGACTTTCTGTATGTGAGCATTACAAGAATGTGGCTGTAAGCATGTAGTTGATGGGAGGAAGACCCATCCTTCAGCATAAACCTAAAAGAACCAAAGGAGACACAGAACTTTGTTAAAAGAAGCAGCAGCAGCATCTCATTGAACAACTCATTGCCAAAAGTGGCAATTAAAGAAGATCCTATTGTTTTGTTTACAGATAACTCACTAGGGCCATGCACAAAGAAGATAGAACATACACCCAGCATAGAAAAAGAACTATTTGGAAAAAGAGATTGACTGTAGAGCCAGCCCTGTTAGCGTTTCATCCACATTGCTTATTTCCTGAACCAGATGCCTCGTCTGACCAGAGGTAAGTAAATGGCTGATTCCTCCTTAAGTTAAAAAAAGGTTCCTTTGGAAATAGGTGATTGGATTCATCTTTCTAGCAAGGAATTCCAGATTTTAGTTTGTGTTCCTTACCTTGTTGCGAGCCTTGTCTCATGCAGAGGACGCACCTCCTCAGCTGTGGGGTTAAAACAATGACCAGAACCACTATGCCTCCAACGCCAGCCGCCACAACTCCAAGGATTGTTCCAATGGATTCTTCTATACCAAACAAGCCTGGGGAGAAGGGAAGTTAGAGAGAGTAACATAAGACGTCATCCAGGCAAGTACATGTGATGCAGCCAGCACATTTTCTACAGTGGCTGCAAAGGAAGCTACTTACTATGATATCGATTATGGCAATGTCTTGTCTGACATGAAATCATGGGCTTCTACATGGGAGAGAGTGTATTGCACTATGAAGTTATTGATTTTTTCATTCCTTTGTAGGAAGCTGCCGTGCTTTCTGGAGGTTTGGAGATAGGACAACCCCCTCTCCCTAGCAATATCCCTTAATGGCTGGATGCTATTGGGAAGGCAAAAGATGCTGCTGCCTGAATTAATGGAACTCATGGGTGCATGTTTCATTTTCAAATGCAAAAAAAAAACCAACCCCACAACTTTGACAATTTTGAGAAAGTTAACAGTATCCCTGTCTACCTCCAAAGAAGAAAGCACCACAGGGCTGGCATAGCTCCACTAAAGTACTTTCTTTGATTTGTTGCACTTTGGGACATGCAGAGAGATGGGATAATTTTCTTTGAGACAAGAGCACAATGGCATTCAGACTTTTTAATTTGTCAGGACCGAAGGATGATTCAGGAAGAACCTTTGGTCAGGTAAGCACAGAAGGATGGACTGTTACAAGGGTTATGGGATACAGCATGGAGAGTATTTGTCCTGTAGTGTCGTGGCTGCCAGAGTAGGAGTGTCTCTTTAGACAGAGGAAACTGGTTGAGCAATAGTGCAACACTGATCTGATCAGATTTAAAGTGATTACCTCATGCTCATGGTAGTCATTTGGCCATGTGACTCACTCAGGAAGGCTAATAAAAGATTGGTTGAAAAGCCTTCCAGTTTTATCTACAGTGACAGTACAATCAGACTTTCATTATATATCTCTTTGTGGTTGAATTTAAGCTTCAGTAGAAAATTCAGACAGTTTTGATACCATATTCACGCACGCATTTCCAAGCATTGGGCCACACACTCACAGCAGTAGCTGCTATGCTGTGCTACCTAGCCAAATGGATGGGCATTCAGCAGCTCACCAGAAACCAGCTGTAGGTCATCAGTAAACAAACCACCTCCCTCCTCCTGCATACAGGGAGGTATCCTGTAGCTTAAATCCATTTGTGGGGTTGATCATTTCATCAGAAAAGTGAGGGCAATGAAGATGCTGTAGAACCCTTACTCAAAAATATGTGTCATCTTGTAATGGACAAGTTAACAGAGTCAGCTAATTTCACCTTTTAATTTTACCTAAGTTTCTGGACAGTCTTGATTTGTGACACATAAAACTTCTTTATGAATTATATTTCTCATATTCTTTTCTCCCTTTAATTCAGGCATAGTGCAAAAATTATATATTTCATCTTCTTGGGAACACAGAGAAGCACTTACTCTGGCCAGGGTGCAAACATTGTGAGAGTAACCTGCACTACTGAGACTAAGAAATCAAGACAATGGGAGACCTCATCAGGCACATGACCAAGCCCTTGCAGGGGGGCATGGTTTTCCTGCCTTGTTTGTGCTATGGTTTAAATTGAGTAGTTCTATAAAAATTAGTAAGGGAAGAACTCGGGCTCAAAGGGGCAAAGGCTTAGTGAATCTCAGAGAACTAGAAGCCTTGGTAATGAATAAGGTGGAAATAGCACTTGCATAATTTACCCTTGACAGAGAAGGTGCTATTTTTCATTAATTAGATAATAGGATAATAAACCTTCTGATGTGTTGATTTGCTGGGACTGGAATGTGTTTGGCCTACATAAAAAGGAAAGCTGCTTTGACATTTCCAGCTGATAAAGGCAAAGCAAGTTATCTCCTTACCTAATATGCCTAGTGTCTACTTGTGAAGCTAAGAAAACATAGCGTGGCACTTTTAATGCTACTTTGATTTTAATGTGAATGAAGTTAAGCAGAAATTATATAATGTGATCCTCATGTTTATTGTGGGTTTACTCGTGTCATCCAGAGTTAAGGAATGAATATGCAAGTTAGTGGTTTGTAGAGATATAATGTAAAACAAAACCCCAGAGTTTAGAGCTGCTCCTCAAGATAGTATGAATGACACCTGTCATTCATGGGTGTTCTGCCAAATAGAGCTGTGGGTACAAGAGAACTTGTCTGACTGTTTCATTCTTGGCACAGACTTTGATTTTAGGGATAAAATTATTCCTTCTCTTTTTGGTTGTAAATCTCCTTCCTTGTAATAGTACCTGTGTGATTGTTTGTAGAGACAAGCCAATCAAAATTAGCT